TAGTCTGTTAAAGTGAATATGTGACATGAGGTATACAGGAATGGTATTCAGCAACCAACTCCATATAGTAGAACAAGAGATAACAGTAGACAGGCAAGTATTGATGAATGATGAGTATAAGGTGTTGCCAGGAAACCCAGTTTCTCATACTCTCATGAAATCATTACTCTATCTCCCTAATTACCTTCAAAGTTTTCACTGCTCAACATGGGAGTTTTGGGTCCTGTTAGCCACAATAATGACCATCCTAATCACCTGAACTTGATGGATTTACAATCCTTACTGTATTTCAGAAATAAGCACTGTCAGATCGACATGGCTGACCAATCTTGACTTTAAAATTATGCTCTTGGATTCTCTGCATACATCTTTACGTGGTTTCTCATTGTTCTCTGTAATAGAGTAGGTCTTTCATCCATTCCTTTCATGCACATCCAACACAGGGTCTTTGGAGTAGGTGCAACCTGTCATATACATTCTTGTTTGAATTCAACTTCTTGACTGATTTTAGCTACTGACTGTTTTTAGGCTACTTTTAAATTTGTATCCCCAGCCCAGACCCCCCTCTCCTGAGATCCAGACCGATATGTTGTGTTTCTAGAGCCTTTATTTAGATGAAACAAGGCCTCAGAACTCAGTATATCTAAAGTCCAATTTATTGCCATGGATCCATTTAACCTCTTTGAATGCCCCCACCAACCACTCATGTACCTTAGACATAAGCTTTGCATCTCTTTCTTCTTCACCTATGATAAATAGAAGTCTAAGAATGACTGCTTCAATGATGCTTACCTTTACATAACTTCTTTTCCTCGAATTATCTTTATAGCAAAATGTCATCATTTTGTATTATATGAAGAAATATTTTGTGGTTTAATTAAGATTACTAATTAGTTGGCATTGCATTAATCAAAGGGGAAATAGTATCAGGGCAGAAATTGAAATAGAAGTATAAAAATACTAAGAGTCAGTGGAACAAAATAATGGACAAATCCTTAGGCAAGGTAACAAAAAAAGAGGAAAGAACCAAATTAATAAAATCACAATGAAAATGGAGAGCTCACAACAAATAAAAATGAAATCTAGAAAATAATTAGGTCATACCTTTTTAAAAAATGTAGTATTTTTCTCTTGAATATAATATACCAAAATTATACCAGGATGAAATAAGCAATTTTAGATATCTATAACGAGCAACAAGATTGAGACAGCAATACAAAAAAAAATTTCCAGTGTTAAAAATAAAAAGTCCAGACCCAGACCTTGGTGTACTAAACCTTTAAAAACAGAACATCAAGGCTTCAGAAACCATTACATATATTAGAAAAGGCAGTAATGACACAGCTCTTTTTAGAAAGCCAGTATTACCTTTATACCAAAACAAGATTAAGATACAATGAAAAGTGTGACCTAATCTCCTTGATGAAGACAGATGTAAAATATCTGCGTTTTTGTCTTCATAAGTGGTACTGGAAAAATCAGATATTCATAAAAAGGAGACAGTAGAGTACCAGACTTTAAATCTGAGGGTTCATGGTTTAAGACCCTCCCTGTTCAGGCACTCGATTTTTTGAGAAAGAAAGAAAAAAAGGAAGAAAGAGAGAGAGAGAGAGAGAGAGAGAGAGAGAGAGAGAGAGAGAGAAGAAAGAGAGAAAGGAAAGGTGAAGGTGGGAGCAAAGAAAGAAAGAAAGAGAGAGGGCAAGAGAGAGAGGAAGAAGAAAGAGAGAAAGGGGAAGGAGGGAGGAAAGAAAGAAAGAAACAAAGAAAGAAAGAGAGGGGGAGGGAGGGAGAGAGGAAAGAGAAAGAAAGAAAGAAAGAAAGAAAGAAAGAAAGAAAGAAAGAAAGAAAGAAAG